GAGGAAGACTATGACTTCCATGCCTGCCACTTCAGTCCATTATTGAGTCTACTATCAGTCTGCTAACTGATGATGAGCAAGTTCTCCCTTTTCGGAGTCCTATTCATTCATTCATTCATTCATTCATTCATTCATTCATTCATTCCATAGCTATACTACCCAATAGTTGAAGCTTTCTGCACAGGTCTCAACAATTCATAAAAGGCACAAAGAAAATCCAATAAACAAAGCATTAAAATATAAATATATGAAATTCAAAACACATCTAAAACAATTTGAGCAGCTAAAATAGTTTTCAGTAAAGCTAAACCAACATGAAGTCCCCTGTTATGCCATTGCATTCCAGCGAGTACCTTGGAGAAGAACACATTAACCTGGCACTGAAAGGATAACAGAGATGGCGCCAAACAGGCCTCAGTGAGGAGATCCTGTTTAAATTGTACTTGAGTAGGATACCTCATCAAATAGAGGATGGCTGTCTGGCACTCCTTCAAAGAGAGAACCATCCTGTGTCCAATAAGTAATGTGGCCACCCTAGAGTATACATGGAAGTATCTGAGCTGGTTGGGATGGCCATGCTGCACTGCAGCCAGCCCAGAATTCTTCAATATGAACCGGTCTGCTGCTGGGAGAAATCCTTGGGAAAGATCTGAAATTGGTTGTCCAGCATTTCTTGGACACAACAGCCCATTTTGCTCGCATGGCAGGCCTGCATGCCTAGGGTGCTTTGGATGCAAATGTGTGGTATGATGTACATGGATCAACCTCCTTCTTTTTTTGGATCTCCTCGAAGAAGAGAGGATCACTTTTTTAGCTGCCTCCACTTTCCTTTACATTGTTGGTTGGCAAAACTCCTGCAGCCTGGTGAATGAGTTCCAGTTTTTAAACTGTTGTCAGTTTGCTTGGAATGTTAATCTGCTTCTTGGAAATCTTCAAAGCCCAAGGTTTGTTTTGTCTTTGGTGAAAAAAAAAATAAAGCTTTTGGGGGAAAAAAGATTAAATGCCAAGGTTACTAAAAAAAAACAAAACCCAAAAACAAAAAACATAGCTAGAACTTTCCTCAGAAAAAAGTCTCAAATAGAGATTATAATTCATTATTTAAAATGCATTACTTCAGCTTCACCTCTCCCACTCTATTGCTTCTGTAACAAGACCAAGAAGTACTGGCAGTGCCATGGTTAAAATGGTTGTCTTGCCTAAATGCATATTTCTTTTTCAAACCACGCCTGTCCTTATCTCCTTTTCATAAATATAGACAGGCACCCTGAGTTTCACAATGCTTTCAAAATACTCATTAAAAATGGCTCTTTACTTCTTGATTGGAGACAGTCCCTCTGAAATGTTTGTTTATTTTGGATGACCTATTACAGTCCCTAACAATGGAACCTATTTTCTCCCTCCTTCATGTGCCCACACATTCATTTGTCTGTGTAGAGATTAAAATTACTTGTTTCAGCTTAGAAGCGGAAAGCCTTCACACAATATTACCCGTAATGCCCCAGAAAGGGCTGGTAGTCACAGTTCATTGTTTCATTTTGATGCTTTTCTCTGTATCTGATGAAAGTTGTTGTAGCATAAGTGCATTGAGTAGTTAACGCTCACCCTAAGAGGATTTAGTTTAGTTTTGCTGCTTAGTTTTCTAGGTGAAATGCTATAGCAAAAGGCAAATTCTGCTTTTTTTATGACTTTGTCATCTATTCAGTCTCCAAATAATCGTAGGTAACAATTGCGTTTCTGTACACAGCAGACAGTTAAACTATAGAATTCACATCCATGAATGGAGTGATTGCTACCAATTTTGATGCCTTTTAAAGGGAACTGAACAAATTAATGCAGAACAGTTGATCAAAGGCCACTAATCCTTATGGCTGTATGCTACCTCCTATATCAGAGATAGTGCTTCAGTTGGGGAATATGGGTTGGAGGGTGCTGCTACCCTCGTATCCTGCTTGAGGGATCCTGTGGGCAGCTGGTTGACCATTTTGTGAACAGCATGCTAAACTAGATGGACCGCTGGTCAGATCCAGCAGGGCTTTTCCTGTCTTCTTAAAGAATCTCAGAGTTTAGAATGATCCCAAAGGATACTTGGACTGCAAGTCCCACACATTTATTTGGGAATAAGTCCCACTGGACCATAAGGAAGGCTGAGCGCCGAAGAACTGAGGCCTTTATATTGTGGTGCTGGAGAAGACTTCTGCGAGTCCCTTGGACTGCAAGGCAATCAAACCAGTCAGTCCTAGAGGGGATCAGCCCTGACTGCTCTTTAGAAGGCCAGATACTGAAGATGAAACTCAAATGCTTTGGCCACCTAATGAGAAGGAAGGACTCACTGGAGAAGAGCCTAATGCTGGGAACCATTGATGGCAAAAGAAGAAGGGGACGACAGAGAGTGAGGTGGCTAGATGGAGTCACTGAAGCAGTCGGCATGAGCTTAAGTGGACTCCGGGGGATGGTGGAGGACAGGAAGGCCTGGAGGAATGTTGGCCATGGGGTCGTGATGTGTCGGACACAACTTCACAACTAACAGCAACAAAGTCCCACTGAACTTGATGACATGTTCTTCTGAGTTGATAGAAGGATGCTCTTAACCTCCTTATCATAATCATCACTGTTGTTATTGTGGAATAGAAAAGAGTAACCTTAACAATAATGCATAGTAATGTTTGTAACCCTCTAGACCAGCAGTTCCCAAACTTTGTGGCACAAAACCCTAGGGTTCCATGAAAAATCTCAAAAATCAAATTTAAAACAGATTTTAAAATGAAACCACATGAGCCCAACTATTCAATTGTCAGTTGGCATCCAAGCATCAAACAAGGAAATGCATCATGTCATTTGGCTCCTAGGACTCTATTGTGTAGTGTTGGAAATAATCAAAAGAATTCATTTGGGATATTACCATATAATCACTTTATTCATTTGTTATATTTAAAATTCTTTATCTTTATTTCCAACCCTGCTACATTATGGAAAGCACTCAGGCAATAGGATCATGTGAAAGAAGGAAGAATGTTGTGGTTCAAAATGCTTAGTAAAAATCAGGGATAGAGTCGGGATTCCTCAAGAAAAAAGTATCTTCAGAAAGGCTCCATGACTGAAAAAGTTTGGGAATTGCTGCTCTAGACTATCTCTGCATGGAATATTGTAGCAATAGGCAACTTGTTGGCCTCCAGGTGTGGTCAGATCCCAACTCCAAGTGTGGTCAGATTAGCTCCACCCAGAATGGGTGGTTGTCAGGAGTGATACAACTTGTAACCCATCTACATTTAGAGGACTGTTGATTCTTCAGCCATGCATATTATAGATGTGCACAAGATAGGGCCTTAGAAAATAATGATGAACTTGTACTTTGTTCTCTGCTATTTCCTGATTTTTTTTCTCCTATCATCATATACAAGATGATGGAACACAGCACATTTCCTTCAAATAGCACCTTGAGTGGTGCCAACCAGATCATGTATGCAACATGAACAATAGGGTTAAGTATCTCTTTCCCCTGGGCATTGTTTTCTTGGTTAAAATCTTTACTCCCACATGATGCCAATCTCTGTCTGTCTTTTTTTCTCTCTCTCAACTTGGGAAAATAGCAAGTTGTTCTCAATCCGAAACAGCTGTGGTGAATTGACAATGCTCAGCATTCCAATGGCACACACATTTACCATCTTAATTTGTCTGGATTCCTAATTCATTTTTCTCTTGCATAGTCATGTGACATACCTACTGCTGGTGCTTCCATTGCTTGACTGTGTAGGGTTTTCCTACATGAGCCATCTTCTGCTTGCTTGTCATTTTCTGATCATACTTGTTTACAGGTTCTTTAGGTGACATTCTGATCCTTCAGTTTTGTTTCTGTATTTAACCAGTTCTGTAAGCAAGGTTTTTAGAGCCAGGAAAATGCAACATTTAATTGTAAAAGCAAAAGAAAGTGTTATTCTACATGTGTATTTGCATTATTCCGCTGCATCACAGTGCCATCTATAGCTTATGTAGTGAAAAAGCAAGAAAGGAAACACTGTGTAGTGCTTGGATTTCAGGTCTGTGACAAAACCAAAAGCAGCTAACAGTGGATTAACACTTGATTAACAACTTTATAAGCTCATAGCATCACTTGGTTTCACCTTCCTACCCTTCTCTGTACTGTATGTCCAACCCATTTTGATTGCCAGGCATCTGGTGACTCACAAGAATAACACATTTGCCCCTTTGTGATTGCTATTCACACAATTTCTTGATTGTCAAGATATTTTTCCAAATAAATAGTCCAAGTAAATGTCCCCCAGTTTGCTAGAAGTTTAGAAAGTTTGCTAACAAATATGTTTTCCATAACAAAATGTTGAATACAAACTAGAGTACCAACTAATCAATCATCATCTGGAAAATGTGGGCTAAATTGGCAATTTATATTAAATATAATAAATGTAATATTATTTATAGGAAACACTGGATTTAAACAACAATCCTATTTTGAATTCCTCTAAAATCCTTGGGACAAGAATAAAGAAAAACAAGGCTTTGTCTTATGCCAATTTTGTAAAAGCTTGAATCAATTATATTTTTTTAAAAAATGCACAAAAAACCTGGAAGTGACATCACAAAGGATGAAGTCAAACTATGTTTGTTCTCAGGTGCATATAAATAGGAGACCAAGTAAGAGATAGCATGGTGTAATAGTAGAAAGCATATTCTGTTTGGACTGGAGATCTGGGATGAGATCCCTGCACAACCAGAATGCTGTGCGGCAATCCCCATCTTTCAGTCTATGTCTTTCAGCACACATTGTATGAAAAGTGCGATGGCGTTTTCCAGTTTTCTCTACGGAGTAGATGACACATTGCCACTCAGGAGATAAAATTAGATAACCATTAGACCATTAGAAGTTGATTAACACAGTTATTCATTCTGAAATGGCATCATTACTTGGCATTGCTGAGCTGCATAGCAAACACTGTAGTTACCCACAAAATTAGGATTCGTTTCCATAAGGCTTACAGGTAAGTATTTCATGCCGTTCCATACTTGTCCTTCAGTTCTTTGACATTTGCTATATATACTTTCACAGGATCTTCTTTAGACATTCCTTTTAACTTATTCCAGGCATCCCACTTGGTTTTGCCTTTGAAATCAAGCTTCCCAGTACATTCTGTATTTACAGCTCCAACTTTAGTTTGTTTGAAATAGCTATACATATCCAGCATCTCCTTTTCTCTTAACTGGGCCTTCAGCTTTTTATCTTCTTCAGCTGCTTTATCAAACTCTGCCTGGGTCATGATACCGATGACGAAGCCCAATATTCTTTCAGAGAAGCGATGAATGTGTGACTAACTCTACTCAAAATTAGATAACTCTGTTGCCCTGTTCTTATGACAAAGCTCAATGTCTCCTATACAGTGGATTTGCATCTGGCAGAAGGCAATAGACTTTTTCTCCAACTAAACATGGATGCATCTCAATATGTCTGGACTTAAACACATTTATGCAGAGTGTAATATATTTAGGGGCCCTGAAATTAGGATTATTGATGATATTGACTTCATTGAACTGATTTATATGTCACCCAATTGGCCACAGGATCTCTGGACAGCATATATAGAAACAAACAGAGCAAAATTCAACAATATAATAAAACAATGGTATCAATAAAGTTAATGGCGATAAAAACAACTGATAATAATAAATAAAAAACCAATAAACTGCTACAAATGCATATGACTATGTTGAAGCACAAACATGTGTGTGGTAGGTAATTTATTATGTGCTATTGTATTTCAATGTATTTTATTGTGTTGTTAAGCTGCCCCGAGGCTTCAGCAAGGGGCGGCATAGAAATGTAATAATAATAATAATAATAATAATAATAATAATAATAATAATAATAATAGGTTACAGATCCAGTCACTTCCTATGGTCCTGTGAAGGTCAATTTCCGCTGTGTGAACAGGGGTCGTGTAACACTATTTAAAGCTAGGGCAACTACAGCAAATTCACAAGGGGGTGTGTGTGTGTGATCTCTTCTTTTTCATTTCTTTTTTAAACATTTATGCCTGAATGTACTAGGTGATTTTTAAAAAATGCTTGGAATGGCCATCTGTTTTGAATACAGCTCCCAGAATTCCTGATCATTAGCCATGCTGCCTGGGACTTATGGGAGCTGAAGTCCAAAGCTGTCAGTGGGTCACCAGCTTGGGGAAGTCTGCTTTCAAACAAATCCGAATCTTGACTGTTTCTCTAAAAACTGCTTTGCAGAAAAATACCTTTTATTTTGTGACAATTCCGAAAGTGGAAGAGCCGTACAAATGTAAATGAACCCGGTCTCTAGGTAACGTGGATGTACGTAGTATTGCCAGCGTATGGTACAAGAAAACACTGACTCTGTTTGTTTTGTTCGTTTCTGGGACTTGGTTGCTATGCTGGCCTCAGAGAACAAGAGAGACAAAGTAAGTAAGGCAGTGCCTTTTCCTACTGTACCGGTTTAGTTAGAAAAGGCATTTCTCCAACTTTGAACTGGGTTTGCAGTGTAGTCACATACAAAAATTAGAGGTGAGTAAGAATAAAACTCCCATCTCTTCTGATGGAAACATTGGGAAGCATCACAATCTATCCAAGAGAGTTAACTTGTTAAAACCTCTGTTTAACTCAGTATTCTTGGAACCAGTACAGCTAGGAGTTTCTGTTCCCAAGAACACTTAAAAGGTTCAGTACAGGCTTGGAAATTACTAATAAGGTGGTCATACTGAGAGAAGCATTATTCCTCATATAATATATGCCCTTATTCATTCATGTCTGTTTTACTATTCTGTCAAAGTGGAATGGATTGTTTTCTTATTCCTGCATGTGTATTTATTAATGAATTGGCTAATGTTATGTCATTGCCACACAAGTTCCTGAATGCATTTTTTTGCAGGGGTGGTAAAAACAATATATTCAGAAATGAAGAAATCTAAATTTGTATTTAGGCTAGAGAACTGAAACCAGGTATCAGCTATGATATATATGCATAGCAATACTTAAAGGAAATGGGGATATTTTTTCTCTCTTCCATGTTTAAATATTTTCTTTGCTTTGAGCAGAATGGCTGAGTAAAACCGTAAAGACTCTTGGCAAGAAGCACTACAAATTATTATTATTCCTTGAGATATTTATGCTTTACAGTGATCAGTGAAATTAAAACAGATCTCCAACATATATTTTGCATTTTTATACTATTTCAGCAGCTGGCTTAGTTTTGTGTGGATCCCTCTGCCCTCCAAAGATGTCCCTTTGATTTCCCTTGCTAGATGTAGGGCTCAGACAACGCACTGTGATATTACTTAGAAGCAGCTTGTCCTGGTTAATATTATACAAACCCAGGAGTGCAGGGAATTCTAAGATCATTTTTAGATTACTGTTTTGGTCCATGAAGTAAGGATCTATGTAATCCAATCAGCATATTGATCCATATAATTAGGCTATGCGAGTCCACAAGCATATAACAAATAGAACTGGGGCAGAATGCCAGAATAACTGGAAACAATATTATGCCAGACATGACTGTGGGGAATGACAAGCAATATTTTGGCAAAACAAGGTGGCTCTAGGATGGATCAAGGGTCCTGAGCATTCCCTGTCTGAAGGCACTGAGCTGCTACTACCTCTTTTTCTCCTTAATGGAGTTTCTACTTTTAAAAGAGAGTTGGAAAAAGTGGCGGGAAAACACATTTTCTGCTGTAAGAGCTTTTCTACATAAGGCAGCTAGCACACACTCATGGTTGTTTACAGGTTCTTTAGACAACATCATGATCCTTCAGTTTCTCTTTTACTTTAAGGCCATTTTTGTTTGTTTGTCAAGTGGGAAAAATGGAGTATTATTTCTGAAAATGAAGGAAAAGGTAGTTTCCTACTTATATATTTGCAGTGTTCCATTATTGTACAGCACAATCTAGAGGTCATGCAGCTGGAAAGCAGGAAAGGATAAGCTCTTTTCCATTTCATTCAATTCTTTGCCAAAACCCAAAGCAGATATAGTGTTTAATAACTTTATATTGACAGCCTTTGGTACCATAGACAAATAAAAGGCTTGCAATAAAAGCCTTGACCAGAAGCATGAGCTTTTCTGCACAGAACATTTGTTTTCCATTCATCAGTCATTGTTCATAGTTGTTTATGTGTTCTTTGGTTCACTTGTGACCCTTCAGTTTTGCTTTGTTTGTTAAAAGCATTTTTAAAAGGTTTTTAATTGAGGGGGCTTTTCTCAATGAGGTTGTTAACTGGCTATATCTATTTTTGGTTTTGTCACAGAATTGAAATCCAAGTATAGTATAGCAAAATAGCACAAATACACATGGGGAAATTATGCTTTCTTTCACCATCCTAAATAATACCTCATTTTCTCTGCTCTTAAAAAGAAACTCATGAAAAGTGTGTTTTAGAAACAGATGTTAAATGGGAGGGTCACAACTTTGTTTAAAGAACCTGCAAATAACCATGAGTAGTGAATGTAGAGTGCACAACAAATGCATTGTGCAGTATTTTAATATAGAAACATGCATAGGATCACACCCTTAGAGATTGTGCTGGTATGGAAGTAGAACAAGCACCAGCATATTCCAACAGTGCGAGGAGGCTACTGTGTGGATACAACTGAGCCATTTACATTAGAAACATAGCTTTATTAAACATTCATCTGTGACTTGGTAGAAGCACTCAGGAAAAGCCCCTTGACATTTTAAAAAGTGAGCCTTTTAATGTATTACTCTCAACCAGCCTATGGACCCTCATATTTGGAAGACTATAAGTAAATGTAACATTATTTCCCCTCTCCATGAAGTGGCTGTTTTAAAATAGCATAGCAAATGATCCAAAGCTGTTTAGAAACTTAATATATTAGTTTTTTCTTAGCATGCATAAAATGTCATGAAGACTTTTGGAAATGAAATTCTCATAGAAGTGCAGGATTATGAATAAATCAACCATTGGTGAGAGGTTGTTTTTACCCATGTAGTTTGGTTACAGCATCAACTCTAAACTCCTGTGGAAAGACATTCAGGGGTATAGTTTTTACTTTGTGCCTATTTAAGATAAAGAGGTTGTTTATCTTAAACAACTTAAGCTTTCAACAATGTCCCAGGTCTCTCAGCTTTTATAGTGATATCAAAGGAATACTACTTCTCAGAGCTGCTTCCTGTCTGCTAGCAGCATTTCCATGCTCAAACAGGGTTTGAAGAGTGCGAGTGGGGCCTTTCGCTAGTCCCCAGGGTTGGATTCTCACCACTGACTCAAAACAGGAACTGAGCCATGAGTTTCCCATTAAGAATAAGGCCAGGCAGTCATTCTAGCAAAAAGAGAACTAATAATTTGGAAGAAATGATGCACATTTCATGACTGAGAAAATGAACTGAAACACCTTCTATAGATACCTATATATTTTATTTATGTATTTATTAGATTTTTATCTCACCTTTCTTCTTACAATGAACTCAAAGCGGCTTATATAATTCTCTCAATCTTATCCCCTGCAACAACAACCCTTTGAGGTAGGTTGGGCTGAGAATGTGTGCCTGGCCCAAAGTCACCTAGATGGCTCCAGGGCTGAGCAGGGACTAGAATCCAGGTCGCCTCAGTCTCAGTCCCACACTCTTAACCACTAAACCACACTGGTTTTTAGATGTAGGGCCAGCCCAAAAAGAACAAGATGGTATCCCCCCACTTCCCATTCCACTTGCAGAAGCCAACTGGACTGGAAGTTGAACCTCAGTTCAACACTGACGATAGAACAGCATCATTCACTCCGACTGAGGGCAGCAGACTAGATAAAATAGAACACAGTAGGTTGTCTTGAGCACACAACTCTGTTCTTCAAAGAGGGGAACTGCTACCGGAGGCTACCTCTCACAGGGGGCTCCCTGTGTCCCCATAACAACAGCACCGAGCATCCACATTCTCTGCCTTCCATACCTTGAAAGGAGATCAGCTTCGAGAGGTGTAGAGCTGCCTGTTGCTATGCTAGAAAAATTTCTGCCCAACCGAACACCTATGTCTGAATTTGACCAAAAAGTATGATGGATTTTGGAATAGCTCTCCCAGGCATTTAGAGAGAGTGCAGAATGGCCAGTAGACCTTGCTGTGCATGGCTGTAAGTAACTGATCCACGTTGTGTTGGAGGGCACGGTGTAAGTGAGGTGAGGCCTGTAGAGATCTTTGGTGCATACAGTACCTTAGCAGCACCGCTGTCTGACATCCCAGACACCTCTATGCCACCCAGAACGATTTGCAGCAAGTCCTTGTGTTGATCTGCTGTAGCCCTGGGCAGGCAGAGCCTAACATCCATCCCTGATATTTAGCTTCCACTGGATGTGTTATGTCCCACGGTTTTACAGATGAGATTAGAGACCAGTTGGTATTTTTAAGAGAAGGTTTTTTTTATTTCCTGTATAGGGACGACACTCTCCCACAAGGACGGGATGGGTGTCGCCCTGTAGAGGGACAACGGAGTATTTATACCTTGTTACAAACAAAGGGAGAATTGTTTTTGACAGCCTACACAAGCGAGCTGGCATGATACAGAGGCGAGACGGTTTTGCGGTTAGTCCATATTTTGATACAAAAGCGGAGCGGCTTGCAGCTAGCCTATCCTTTTAAGCAGAACACTCTGTATATGCCTGGGGCGGCTGACAAGCCTCTTATTGTGCTCTATTGTGCTGACCCCAATACACAACTGATAGCCTCCTGCCATACCAATCCCGTGCCAGGTGGGTGGAGCCCAACAGGATGCAGGCAGCACTACTAAGTTCTTCAGGTTTTGGTTACGTTGAACAGCTGTTGGTTGGATGTTGGAAGTTGCTGTAAGCTCTTCAGTGTAGCAACTTGACATCTTTTGCTTTTAAATTATTCTTCTGTACCCAAGAGATAGGATAGCATCGTTTATTTGTTCAATAATTTTATATCCTGCCATTTTTCCTCCTGCAAAGAACCTAAGGTGACTTACAAAATCCTCCTCTTCCTTTCCATTTAATCCTCACAACAACCATGTGCCGTGGGTTAGTCTGAGAGGCAGTGACAGGCCCAAAGTCACCCAGGGAGCTCCATGGCCAAGTGGAGACCAGAACCCAGATCTCCTGAGCCCCATTTCAGCAGTCTAACTAATATGTGAAGGCTGCCATGCACAGTAGTGGAAAGCCTACAAACTGGGCAGCTATCCGGTCAGGCATATAAATGCAGCACATCCAGCATCCATGATATTATTTGTATGGTGGAGGGGAGAAAGCTATGGCTACTGCTCTAACATGCCACTGAAATGCTCCATGGCAAGTATGCCAAACTAGTCAAGTATGTCACTGTGCCTCCTTGAATTTGATTTACCTCGAAAAAGCTGAGCACCTATTCTAAGGCTCTGGAGACAGAATGGCATTTAATTGGAGAACTTCGGTAGTGGTGCTTGGCTGAAGGGGGTCTGAAGTCT